TTTTGCAGATATATCTTCTTGAGCAAGGGAACAAAGCAGAAAATAAACAAAAGGCATGCCATTTTGTATTTTTATCTTTTACTACAGAAAGTTAAGCAACACAGATTGAACTATTCCTTATCAAAAAATTTCCTGTTCTTTCATATCTATTTTTGTTTATTTTCTGACAGAATCTCTTGACATATCCTTACGTAATGCCATAAACCTTGACTCTGTTCTCTACCTGTTGTATAACATCTTATGTATGAAGTCATGACCAGCTAGAATATTCTTGGTATTAAATATCAGGAAAAAGTAATAAAAACATTTGTAAAAGGCAAGTCTTGCCATAATGTAATATCAAGAATATGAATGGCTATCTCATTATTCAATAAATCTGAAAGTACAATGGTAACAATGCCAGAGAAATACAAAGAAAACCATAATATAAGATGGCAGAAAAAAATGTTATTTAATATAACTTTAAAAATTTAAATCCCTGAAGGGCTTAATACTTTGCCTATAGGTCTTCAAAAATTTTATACGTTATTTTTGCTTAAAAGAATATTTTCCTCATGAAATTATTTTATAATTTCCATTATAGTTTCCATTATGGTAATCTCACCATCAGTCCTTCTACCTCTTCTCTTTGCATTGTTGCCAAAATCATAACTCCATAGCGGTAGCCCATCACGGTTAAACCCAATTATAACAATGCCATCATTCTTGTCACAGAAGGTTCCATAGCAAAGGAATAGGATCAGCAATGAACAAGTGCCCAATTAAGATGAATGAGACCTAAGGACAAATTAGTTGAGGAATATTGGAAGAGACATTTTCTTGTCCCTCTCAGAAAAAGAGAGTTTTCAGGAGTCAGATATTCCTTTTTATGGATGTTGTAGACAGATGACCACCATGAGGGAAGGCAGCTTAAGAATAAAGTTGATCCAACACAAGGCAAATAAAAACATACCAACTCTGGAACCTATCCTGATGGATCTGACACTTATGTGAGCCAATCAATCCTATTTCTTGTTTAAGTTAAGTTGGATTGGGTCTTCTATTATTTGAAATACACATAATGAACCCTTATTGATACATTATTCTTTTCTCTTCTTAATTTCCCATTTTCCTAAAAATGTGCACGTATATTAATGTACTGTTATGACATATCTCAATGTCAGATAATTTTGATCATAGTTCAGTAGCAGATACTTTAGAAGAAACTAACTTACAGGGATGTTTTATGAAAACAACAATATTGAATTTGGGGACTCATCAAAACCTTGAGCCAATTATGTGAAATATCTTCAAAATATCTAAAGCACACCAACAACAAAAGATGATAATTTCTTCTTAATTTTAATACACTGGGAAAGTATACATCTTATAACTTGGGAATATCTTTGGTTTACTTGCATAATTTATTATTAATGCAAGCCTATTTAAGCTCCTACTGACTACATGTATAAAACTCTCCACAATGGCATTATCTGCCTAATGCATTAAATCAAACAATGTTGTATGATCTCAAGACTTTTCACAATCTGGGTCCTCCCACTCTCCATACTCTACCTGCATATAGTGGGAGCTCACAAACATGCACTTTCAGCTCCAGACTCTTCACAGCTGTGCTGTCCCTCTCCCTTCCTTTCCATATAACATCTTAATTTTTTCATCTGTGCTTTTTGGTCAAGCCCTCTTCCTCCTCACCAAGAATAGAACTCTTTGAAATACATAAGCTCTGCCACAATATTTGGCTCTAATTATATCTTACTGTGCATTTACCTGTAATGCTTCTGTCTTCTTTGTAATTAGTTTGTTAGATCATTGAGAGCAAAAATTGGTATTTCTCTTATAACTACCCTCCAGAGCCTAAAATACTGTGTAGTAAATATTAAATGAATACAGCTTTATTAATTAACTAGAAGCCCAGTGCACAAAAATTTGTGCACTCGGGGGGTGGGGGGCTCCCTCAGCCCGGCCTGTGCCCTCTCGCAGTCTGGGACACCTCAGGGGATGACCACCTGCTGGCTTAGGACCGCTCCCTGGGGTATTAGGCCTAAGCTGGCAATCAGACATCCCTCTGGCAGCCTGGGAGCCTTGGGGGATGTCCACTTGCCAGCGGGGAGCAGGCCTAAGCTGCAGTCGGACATCCTTAGCACTGCTGAAGAGGCGGGAGAGGCTCCCACCACCACCACTGTACTGGCAGTCGTCAGCCTGGCTTGTGACTGAGCAGAGCTCCCCCTGTGGGAGCGCACTGACCACCAGGGGGCAGCTCCTGCATTGAGCATCTGCCCCCTGGTGGTCAGTGTGTGTCATAGTGACCAGTCATTCCCAGTCGTTCTGCTGTTAGGGTCAGTTTATTATATAGGATAGAGGCCTGGTGCATGGGTGGGGGCTGGCTGGTTTGCCCTGAAGGGTGTCCCGGATCAGGGTGGGGGTCCTGCTGGGGTGCCTGGCCTGTGTGGGTGAGGGGCTGATGGCTGTTTGCAGCTGGTCACACCCCGTTCATGGGGAGAGTCCCCACTAGGGTGCCTGGCCAGCCTGGTGAGGGGCTGATGGCTGTTTTCAGGCTGGTCAAGCCCGCCCCCCCCCCCCAGTGGGACCCTCTACCCATGGAGGTTTGGCCAGCCTGGGAGAGGGGATGATGGCTGTTTTCAGGCTGGCCACACCCCCTTTAGGGTGGGGGGTCCCTACTGGGGTGCCTGGCCAGTCTGGGTGAGGGGCTGAGGGCTGTTTTCAGGCTGGCCAAGCCCCCCCGGCGACAGAAGCTCCCAGCCTCTCCTTTTTTTTTTTTTTTTATTCTGGGATTTATTTACCTTCTACAATTGAAACTTCGTAGCCTTGAAAGGAGCTCAGAGCCGGCCAGGGTGGGCGGGAGGGAAGCTTGGCTTCTTCCATTGCCAGGGGCAACCCAAGCCTCCTGCTCGCTCCAGCTCCATGGCCACGGCCGGCTGAAAGCAGGTATCTGGGGTTTATTTACCTTCTATAATTGAAACTTTGTTGTTTTCAGTGGAGCTCAGAGCCGGCCATGGCAGACGGGAAGCTTGGCTTCCTCCATCATTGGGGCAACCAAGCCTCCTGCTTGCTCCAGCTCCGTGGCTGCCAGCCACCATCTTGATTGGGTTAATTTGCATATAGTCACTCTGATTGGCTGGTGGGCGTGGCTTAAGGCATAGCGAAAGCACGGTCAATTTGCATGTTTGCTTTTATTAGTGTAGATCATGTTTTATTATTTTCTTACAGAATCTGTCACATGAAACTAGAAAAAGATTTTAATTTACTAGATGGACTGAGGGCTGCCAGATTTACCAAACAAAAATATAGGATGCTCAATTAAATTTAGATTTCAGATAAATAACAAACTTTTTATTGTATAAGCATATGCAGTGCAATATTTGGGGCATAATTATACTAAAAATTGTCTGCCTTATAGTTTAAAATTCAAATATCATTGGATGTCCTTTATTTTTATCTGGAAATCCTAGATTGGCCTTCCCTACAGAAATATGTGTACTCATTTTTCTAAATAAGGTAAATGCCACATTTATGAATTGCTTACCCTTACATAGTTTTGCTAATCAAGTACAATAGTAATGAAGTTCTCTGCATTGTTTCACCTGGTAGTGACAACAAATAAATAGAGTAATCCTTTTCTGAAAGTCACCATGCACACATGTTTAGAGGGAGCAAAGTTAAACAAAACGGCATTTCTGCCCTCAAGTAATTCATAGTTGGGTGGAAGAAGGGAAATCCCATTTCAGTCCAGCCTCTACTTGATGTGCAATCCAGATCATCCATTGGCCAAAATTATTTTTAGGCCTAATCCATCCCTCCTGGGCAAAGATCTAAGATGACACTGTACACTTAGGTTGTCAAAAAAGAAATATATTGGTTTTGAAGTATACATTAAATAGTTCTTGCCTTCGGAGTGTTTATAAACGCCACAATTGATAATCCTACATAAAAATAATTATTTATAATTTGTTTTGACCAGCATGCTTTACTTAGAGTTTGATAATGAAGTTAGTTTAATTATAGAAGATTCTTTTTCTAGTTTCTGGATATTTAATGTGCATTTTATTTAGCAAAAGCAATGAAAATGAAAATTTTTCCCCTCCTAGCTATTGTGCAAATCTTTCACAGGTAAATGCCATGTGATTAATTAATTTGAGTCATGTATTTAAGTGGTTATTAGGATCCAGTGGTTCAGATTTTGAATCTCGGTCTGCTTTAGCTAATTTCTGGTCATCAATCTTTTCCGCAATGGAAAACAAGTTCCCAGGAGAAATTTTCTTTGCCTGGCACAATTTTATAAAGATTCTGTGAGTGCATTTGTGTGTACATAAAGTTTGGTATTAGTTTTTAAATTATTTTTTTCTACACTATATTTGTTAATTTATTGAACACCATGTAATTTGATATCTGTAATAATCAAAGATATCAAATTCCAGAAACATTTTTCATGTGTGTGTGTGTGTGTGTGTGTGAAAAGTATTTCTTAGACTTAGACCATGTAATTCAAGTTTTTAAAACAATGTCTCCTGAACATACATGCATAAAAAATTTTCACTTCTGAAATAGTATCATATTTTTTTCCTTTTGAAAAACACAGAAGTTATTGATCTTAAGCCACCAATCCGTATTTTCTTGAAGGTCATTTTCAATTAAAATAACAAGGCATAATCTAATAAATGATCATTTCCATGGAGTTCAATTGGTTATTAATATATCAGATGAAGTTACAAATGAAATGGAAAAAACAAAATAATAGACATTTTCCTCTTAAATATTAGATAAAATGTCACATTAAAAAAATTCTGACTGGTGTTTGTTAAAATAAATTTGTAATATTGATAAATAAAAAAGGTAATGAGACTATTGGGGTAACTTATCCCAATTTTAGTGATTTGTCAGTCACCAGGGCAGAGGGCTATAGTTAGCATTAGCATTATGCCAAGTCTTTGGAAATTATGAAAAACTCATATACAGAGTATATTTTAGGCTGTCAAAATTACCTTGGGTAGCTCTTCAATTTGATTGGCATCTAGATAAAGCTCCTCTAATGTCCGTTCGAAGTTAAAGACTTCTTTTGGCACCTGCTGAAGGCTGCAGTGGGAGTAATCTAAAACTGAGATGATTTCTTCTTCACCTCGGAAACATCGGCACGGCACCAGACGGCCGATGAGTTTCCGTTTGGTGGTCATCTCCAGGCAATGCACTAGAGAAAAACAGAAAAAGAAAAACACAATTGCTTAATCAACTACCTTCTTGTAATATTTAAAACTTAGAAATTTAATGTTGGTATATGTTGTATAATTACATATTACTTTAAAATTTATATTGGACATGCCCAAGCATTATATCATTTAATCCTTGAACAAACCTACAAGGTATGTGAGATAGGATTTATTCCCATTTAACAGATAAAACAATGGATTTAGAGAGGTTAAGGGACTTCTCAATATCATACAGTTTGGGAATAACAGAACTGGGCCATATTGCAATGTTATTACTATACTTCTACTTCCACTTGAAACATGGATCTACGATATGCTTTTAATTTTACACAAGTAACAGTGGAGAACAGAAACCTCCAGAAATTGTTGAAAAAATACTTTTCTCCCATTTCTGCAAGTTTCACCACTAAGGTTTATGATGTCTTCTTTTTGACCCACAAATTCATATAATCAGTCAACATATACTCATTGAAAAACCGCTCTATTCTAGGCACTGATCTAGGTACTGGGGAGAGAGTGATGAATTGAACAGATTCTCTGTTTTCATGAAGCTTATGTTCTATTGGAACAACAAATCAGAGTTGGATTGGTTATGTGCTTAGAATGAGGGCCTATCTTTATGAATCCTGTGATTTTAATGGGAGAAAACAACTTGTAATCATGGCAGAAACCTGTGACATCCTTGGCATGACTTTCTCTAAGTTAAACTGACTAAATACCATAAATTGTGTACAGATTTGTATCATGCACCTACAGTACTTCATTAAATCTATTATTTTTTATGTTATTCTTCTCATAGACTGTAAGCCTCTTAAGGGTAGAAATCATGTTTTGTTCATATTTTGCATTTGTCTTGGTGCTTGACAACAAATATAGAATGATCAAATGAATACAAGAATAAATAAACAAACATGTCTGGGACTCTTTCCCCAACCACATCAGGTACTGATAGTTTGATTGAAAACTTCTCATTCTAACTAAAAGGTCACTCTGTCTGTGATGTCTCCCCAGGAAGAATAATGAGTAGTGTCTTCCTCTGAGTTCCCAGAGCACTAACTATGTAATTTCCTAGTTATTTGTACCACTAGAGGCCTGATGCATGAAATTTGTGCAAGAGTAGGCCTTCCTTCCTCGTCCCCCCACCCCCCGACCCTGCTGGCACCGAATTCCCTCCGGCGCCCGGGACCCGGGCTTCCTTCGCAGCCCTGGCTTTGTCCAGAAGGACCTCTTTCATTGACCCAAAAGCATATTATGCTTTTATTATTATAAATTTCCCTATAAGGGAGTTCTGTAGGGGCCCAGGGTAGGCCACCCTAAGTTGTCCCCAAATGGCATACCAATTATTTTGATTTAAACTTATTTAAGAAATTATCCTGCAAGAAGAAAACCCTGATCACTCTGTCCCCCTAAAAGTAGAAGATACATCACCAGGTGATAGGTGCCCTACCTGTTCCAGGGGCCTGACACAACCTTATCATAAGATTTAAAAGAATCCAAAGTCTGCATCAAACTAAAAAATTTTGCACAGCAAATGAAAGCATTAACAAAATGAAAAGACAACATATGGAATGGGAGAAGATACTTGCCAATGATACATCCAATAAGGTGTTAATATCCAAAATTTATGAAGAACTCATGCAACTCAACACCAATAAAACAAACAAGCTAATGGGCAGAAGGTCATAATAGACATTTTCCCAAAGAGGACATATAAATGGTCAACAGGCGTATGAAAATATGTTCAATGTCACTAATCAGAGAAATACAAATTAAAACCATAATGAGATATCACCTCACACCTGTCAGAATGGTCAATAAATCAACAAATAAGTGTTGGTGAGGAGGTGAAGAAAAGAGAACCTTCACACACTGTTGGTGGGATTGCAAATTGGTGCAGCTACATGGAAAACAGTGTAAAGGTTCTTCAAAAAACAAAAAATAAAACTACCTTATCATCTAGCAATTCCACTTCTGGGAATATATCTGAAGAAATACAAAACTCTAATTTGAAAAGATATATGCACCCCTATATTTATTACAGTGTTATTTACAATAGCCAAGATATAGGTTAGTGCCTTTCAAGTCTCCATGGGGGGTATCTAACATATTAGGCAACCAATAAATGCATCTAGTAAACATCTGACATTTATCAGGCACCTAGTACACGTTTGCTGAGGTTAGTGCAGTTGTAAAGGTAAGTGACGACTGCTTAGACTAAAATAGTAGCAGTGAGGATGGAGAGGAGTGATAAACTGGAAAGATATTTAAGAAGCACAATCAAGTGTTGGTGAAGGATGAAATGAGAGGTGGAAGGGGAGGCTGTGGAGCAAAGAAAGGTGTCTTAAGAGATTCCCAGGTTTTTAATTTGAGTCACAAGTGGCCACATCGACCACCCAGCTGTGATGCTGTAGAGCTGACATATACCCTGTCTATCTTGATGACATACAGATGAGTGAGGAATCAATTGTTCATGCTTTTTGTCACCCAGTGACTTGCACTTACCCCTTTTGTGCTGAACAACATGGTTGTTTTTGATACCCACCTTGTGCTACCACCACAAATTTTTTATTATGAACCAAGAGAAATAAGACAAAATCCAGGTTTGGCCAGAGGGTTCACTGTCCACCAAGACTTCTGGAATTTAATTCATTTATAACTGCTTTGTTTTTCATTGACTCAAATGGTAGGCACCTTTGATCATCTTTTCTGTCCCATCTCTCATCCCCACAATGTGCTGAGGCTTTCCCTGGCTCAACTTCTCTTTCCTCTACACCCTGAACTCTGAGATTATGCCTTACATCATGATCAACTTCAATGAGCCTCATCTTCTTCACTGAATGCTCCCTTCCCATCGTAGTCTCAATAGAAACTTGGCTGACCTACAGGCTTTACAAGTGGAACATGATGATTTCCAAACACTTCAGGCTTGGAAAGTGGAGTTGTTATCCTCCTTTGTTCTCTAAAAACTATTACTTTTCTTTCATCTTGTAAAACCTCAGCGCTTTGATGGTCTCATTACCTGGCAGTAACATCACTCTGCCCTTCTTCAGACCTTCCATTTATCATCACTTTAACATCCTCTCCCCCCACTGATAACTTTGGTATCTAATGCATGGACTATTTCTCAATCACAATTCTTTCCATTCCTTACTTATGCCCCATACAGATAATAATTTTCAACATTTTAGAGTTTTTTTTCTTACTCTAAAATTCTAAATAACTTGATTATAGTGCTACTACTGACTTTGCAATGACAGGTTTCTAGTGTAAAATGTGGCAGTTTATCTTTCTTCTAATAAATTCCCACATACTTGTAATCAACCAAACAATATTGTTTTAAATTAATAGTATTTATTTTATGATGACTATATTCCACTGCAATTCAATCACATTTTATTTCTTGTGCTTTTTTTTTCTTTAAAAATTGCCTCTTGTTTTCTTTGGTTGGGTTTTCTATGCACCTTCCACTAATTCAATATCCTATCTCCTCTTGGTATAGTCAAACAAATGTAATTTGATTTTTAATAATTTCTCACTCCCCTGAAATAATCCGTTAGAAGCAGTCTATCTTCTTGCTCCTATTTGGGTTAGTTACTTTTTGCTTGCTAGACTTCTTGGAATATAATATCCAATGTTGGAATATAACATCTAATAACTTACTGAGAAAGCATCTATGGTAGGTACATTTTTTGAAAACTTTGCATATCTGAACATGGTTTTATTTCACCCACAAGCAATTAAAAGGTTGGTTGAATATACACTTCCAGGTCAGAAATAATTTTCCTTCTGTATTTGAAGGCATTTTAATTTAATATTTTCTAGCTTTGAAAATGGTTGCCAGGAAATCCAGTCCCATTACTATTCAAAATCCCATTTTATACCCACATTCCCTTCCATCAGAACATTTTAGAATTTTTATCTTATCTGTAGTCTTTTGAAATTTCATGAAAATGTGCTTTGATGGTGTGTGTCTGTGTGTGTGTGTGTGTGTGTGTGTGTGTGTGTGTGTGTTGTTTTTAAATTCCATTGTACTGGATACTTCATGGGCCTCTTCAATTTGAAAGCACTTATCCTTCAATTCTGTTAAATTTTCTGTTATTTAATTGGTAATTTCCTCCTCTTTGTTGTTTTTATTTTCCCTTTTTCTGCAATCCTGATTAGCTGGATGTAGGACCTACCTTTTAGATCTACCTGGTAACAATTATTTTTTCTCTTGTAATTTCCATGTCTGTGTTCTTTTATACTATTTTCTGAGAGAGTTTCTTAACTTTATCTTCTAAATCTACTGACTGTATTATCTATATCTGATAGCATATTTTACTTTCCACAAGTTATTTGTTGCTTCCTGAATGGATGCTCCTTTTTCATAGTATGTCAGGGGACCATAAAACGTTCATGTTCTCTTAGATTCTTAGAAGATATTAACAATACACTTTAAATCTTTTTTCCTCCTGTTTCTTGCATTATTTCTGAATTCTATTTTCTGTTTGTTTATTTAGGTCTTTATCTTTCATGATTGGGCTTTAAAAAATATCTGCTGATCCCTGGCTGTCCTTCAATATTGAAGAGTGAAGCACTAAAAAGTTAATTGGAAGCTTTGTATGCATAATAGGTTTCACTGCAGGATGATCTGGCAGAAAGCCAAAGAATATTCTCATCTTCTGTCTGGAGCATAGCTGTGCAGTTTTGTATATAGAGAAATTCAGTCAATTTTCCTATTTTCAGTACTAAGTCTCTTCCAGTTCCTTGCCTGGTACCTGTTGCCTTCAAGACTCAAAGGAAATCTATGGAGTAAATTACTTTTTGTACCCCTTTGAGAGTACTTTATAATGTAGCTCATAATGTACTTTGCATGTAGATGAATATAAACTACATCTTCATTCCCTGTCTTCTCAAAATTTGCTGAAATTTCTTATCTCTAGATGTCTTTTATTTTCTCTGTCTTTATGGCTATATGTATTTTAAAATTTCTTTCATTTGG